GCCTAAGGAGGGGTGCGGGCCGCGGCTAGAAACTGCCAATCAAAGCTGTATTTACCGCCGCTCTCCGAAAAGGGGAGACAGACCACCAGCCCCAGGAATCCCACAGCAAATATTCAAAGAAGGGCAAATTGGACTCGGCTCAGTGGAGCAAGGCGTACACGGAACGAAGCCGCTTCACGAGCCCCGTACTGCACATGCGCACTCAATCCCGCTTCCAGCTGAGATAATTCACTTGGAATCAAAATTCTGCAAAGAGAGAAAAATCTAATCGACTTTCAAATGTCTGGCGTCACGTGCTAGATTTTTCGGTCCGCCGCGTGTTTTGGTCTTAAATATTATGCCAGGCGTGTTCGTATACCTGTCACTGGGGAGTTTTTCCAGACTGCTGAGCTTGCAACGAACGCACTATCTAACAAGATGATCAAATTAGTATTCAGATCGGATTTGAAAGGAAAGGGCGGTGAGGAAATGATGAGAGAAAATATAGTGAGTCATTGGAGAGGAGAAGGAGGAGGGGGGGAACAGACAGCGGGTTCAATCGCAGAGATCCACGTCCACATTAAGTGCGTGGAGAAAGTTGCCACCTCAATGCATGAATCAAAAATATATATTATTAAAACAAGTGTCTTTCACGTTTGTGTTTTGGTAAGCTATCATTATCCTTTGATTATAAGAGTTTCATCAAAGAGGGAATACTAAATTCTAACAATGAGATGAAAACATCTGCATTATACAGACTTTAGGCTAATACATTCAAATCAGACCACATGTTTTTCTATTAGATTTTTATCAAGAAATGTTTTTACATTTTGTGTGAGTCACTAATTTGACTCTTTGAGCTGATTGGTTGAGTGAGGGTGGTGCGCTCTTTGTCACTTTTCTGTCTGAAAAAGCTGAGCTAGAAATGTTCCCTGATGCAAAAAAACAAAAAAAAACAACTTGTGATAAAACCACATTTAGTTATAATAGAATAATTATGTAATGTAATACTTGTGTAAGAGTTAGTTATTCATTTAAAGTTAAAGCTGGTGTATCTAAGGTGCACATTTATCATTACTTTATAGGATTATTATGAAGAAAAATTCTACCTTCATAATTAATTATAATAACGATGAATTGTACTATTCTATGTTGACAATTTTTGGAAGTGAAATAAGGAAATGCTTCTATGACATCACACTATAAATAAATATTTTCACAACTGTTTTTTTTTTCTTATTTAAATTCCACTACAAAACGTATAAAGGCTTTTACTATTTTAGATTTATTTTCTATATCTTTCTTCAAGTACAGTATATTTTCTTCATACAATAGTGCACCACTTCTCACAAAGTCCTAAACATGACGCGGACCAAAGGAGACAGCGGTGAGCAGTGGTTCCGACTCCTGCAGACCACATTAAAACTGTTTCTACAACAAACCCAGGTCCCAGAGAAGCCGTGCTGTCTCCTCTCTCCTCTTCAGCAGCGAGCGGCAGATACAAGCCACGTGAGAAAGACTGTGGTCAGGGAGAAGGAGACAGGACGTTCTCACCGTACGGTCAGAACAACAAGTCCGTAATTCAGGTATATCGCTGGGAGAAATATACTTGAAAAACTAAGGCCATTACAGCGTTCGGTCATAAATTTAGATACAGCTAAAATCCGTTCTCCCTGAAAATGTAAGAGAGGCGTCTACTCTGACAATGTTCAAATCCAGGCTAAAGATTGTTCTGTTTGCCTGTGCATACAACTGAAGGATTTTATTTCTATTTTTTAAAGCACTGTGGTTATTTAATTTTCAATCCTTTGTGTGATTTTAATGTTTTGATTAATTACCTGTGATTTTTAATTGTCTTTTAAATGATGATTCTGGTGTTGCTGATTTGTGCCTAGTGTGATATGGACTGTGAAGGCACTCTACAAAAAAGATTGATTGATTAATTGATATATTACAAATGATTTGTTTTTTCAACAATTATAATGAATTATAATGAATTATGATTAATGTGTCATTTCAATTTATGGTGAAGAAAGTTTCGAGAGTAAATTATGCTATCTGCCCTATCCCTATGCTAATCCTTATGCTAATCCTTCACATTGTTGTTGTTTTAATATGAATTCCAATTCATATAAAATTGCATCAGTTTTATATTGCACTTTTTGGGACACTTAAAGAGGCTTCACATGTCATTATTCTTTCACTCGTGGTGATAAACTACTGCAGTAGCCACAGCTGCCCAGGGGCACACTGACAGAAGCAAGTCAAGCATTTTGTGGCATCGTCCCCTTCGACCACCACCAACCATTCACACAAACCAGACTCACAATGTGGATAAACTAGGACACAAAGACTTTGGCACTTACAGGTCTACAGCCGCAACCGCCTGTTTATTTTCCCATATTTGAAAACTTGGCCACATTTTTGTTTAAAGAAAAAAACACATTTTGTGATTGTTCACTTACAAATTTGCTTTGCGTGTGATGCCATAGATAGTGGTACAATTGCAGCATACTATTGCCAGTTTGAGACAGGAGCTTTTAGAAAAAAGGGGGGAGTTACATGTTTATTTATGTATCAATTTTCTTGGGACAGTGTGTATTAATGAACAACAGATGCTTTAAACTCCAGATTGTGGGATAATGTCCATCTGTTGTCTCACATTTAAACTCACAAACTCACATTATGGTTTGAGACAGGTCTGTGTTTGATGAAGAAACACGGTTGTAACTTGGTTAAAAGCTCAAAAAAGTAGATTTAGCAACCATTTAAAAGGTCCATCGCGTTATCTCTGCTTAGATCTACATATTGTCGTTCTGCCTGACTATTTATAGACTTGTGTCTCTCTTTCTAAATTGGAACATACACTCTGATTGTGTAAGGCAAGTGATTTCTCTGTAAAAAAAAAAAAGTCAACCTTTTTTTTCATCACAAAAATCCCTAATTGATGAATACATATATATTAAACCAAACTGAGCAACATTTCAAGCAAAGCAATAACCCCTGTAGGAACCTAGTATCAAACCATAAAACTAAAAGCATATCGCCACCAGGACGGGGGAGGGATGCACCTTTCATTTGATGATTTTTCTGTTTTTAATCATAAACATTGCTTCATAGCGGGAGTAACACTACCTTTTATTCCAAACGTTTGTGGATATATGCATTTAAAGCGGGGGTAGAACGTTCGTTCTCCACAATATTACTAATAATGATTTTGTTTGTCTTAACATAAAATGTCATAAAAAGGTTTAGACTTCCATCTTCATGTGTCCTCATTATTCAGGTTCATTGCAAGTGTGTGTGTGTGTGTGTATGTGTGTGTGCCCCAGGGCAGCTGTAGCTATAGAAGTAGTTTATCACCGTGTATGGAGTGAATGAACAATGAATGTGAACCGTCTTTGAGTGAAAAAAAAGCGCTATATAAAACCAATGCATTATTATTATTAGATGCTCGAGCCAACTCTACTAGTTCGTAGATTATCCCTCATTCGTAGATTAACAGGTATTTAAGTGCTAATTAGTGTACCCTAAGCCTATCCCCCATGGGTGTCAGTCAGTAGTTTGTTAGATGTTGAATAAGGCCATGTAGAACTGCCACCCAATGCTCATAGCACCAGTCCCTCGCTGATCCTCTGCAGGTGGTGAGTCCACAGGAAGATGGCTGCTCCGTCAGGGGTGAAACAGCCTTGGTCTTTCAGTGGGAGCTTCAGGCAACGTGGGGTTAAATGTCTTGCCCAAGGATACAACGACAGTAGACATCAGTGGGAGCAGTTGGAGTAGATCCCATGGTGGGAATCGAACTCACGACCTCTAGGCCCAAATGCTCTACCAACTGAGCTACTGTCGCCCCAAAAATCTGTTTCACTCAAACAAAATAACAGTTATAGGAATTTTGAAGACTTCAGAGGAAGGTGCTCTGCTCCTTCCTCTGAAGTGTAAGATGGGTAAGATGTGTCCAAAAAAGGGTCCACAGCTAGATTTGGATTTTTAAATTACACTTTTTGTAATGTATCTACAAACGTTAACAAGGTCTGTGGATGTAAAGGAGATGGCCCTGGGGCTCCATTTGTTTCATGGTCTTTCTTATAATGCCAGAACAGATATCGGTTGTACAACATTTTTCTTTGCCTCGTTTTTTGTATGTAGGGCCTAATAAAGTCAAATTAGGTTTCCAATGGAGCTGGTGATTGAACGTCAGATACAAAAGACATTTTTTATAAAAGTTGAGGATATTCCTTGACAGTTTTCAACATGTCGCCAAGAGCGCAAATGGTGGAAAAAGACAAAAAAGTTGTTAAATCTGAATTTGTTAAACCTTAGGTCAGTTCACTGTGTGAATTATTTCATTTTAAAATGTATGTTGGTTTTTGGATTATGGCTAACTGAACATTATCCTGTATACTGCAGAGAATATGCCATTTCATTTGACCATAAACACGTTGAGTATATTTGAAAACCTCGGCCTCGAGCCAACAGACTCATTCAATAATAATAGGACTTTTACCAATTTTTTGTTTTGTCAGTCCACAAATGTTATGGTATTCTAACATGTAAATGTTATGATAGATTAGAAGGCTTTCTGTTCCCTCTGGCTCCACAAGTATATCACTGTTTCAAAATGTTTATGTAACTTTGGTTTTTGTTTGCTATTTTGTGTAAAAATGTACTTGCATATCTTTTCCCATGTTGTCCTTTTGATAACTTTTTATTAAGGGTGTCATCAAAAATTGTTTTTGACAATTGATGGTGGTGTCAACTGAAACTACAGTAACTACCACCTGCATTAATATATGTTTCCATGGCGATGTACTTTCTACTCTTCCTATGAAATGTTGCTTGTAACCCTGGCAACACATTCCAGAACTCTCTGACATCACGAAGCGAGGACACAGTGAGTTAGGTCTCAGAGACAAATCTCAGGCCGGAAAGACGAAGAGACCCGGAGAAGAATCAAACGACAGAGCGCTTTTGCCAAACGCCAAACCTTCATTACGCGTACATTACAATTGGATGGTGACATGGCCCTGTTAGACAGAGAAAACTTCTGGAAGAAGAAGTTTGAGCAGGAAAAAGACGCCAAGGAGCGTTTATTGAAACGCCTCCACAAAGAGCCGACTGTTTCTATCAATGTGGATGAACTGACAAATGTCCTTGGGGCAGAGCCGAGGGTCAGACGGATCCAAGGGACAGACAACCAGAAAGGTCAGTGCTATCAAATTGAGCTGGGGGCTTCTGAGGACCATGAAGCCAAGTTCTACAAAGCCATCATCACAGTAACAGTAGGACATGATCTGGAAGAACTGGAGGTTAAACCTGCTGTGAGTGTTGTAGATGAAGAAACAGCTCCTTCAGGGACACAGGCTGAGGCTGAGACTGCTGTGGACCACAGTCTGGAGTCTGACGCTAACCTCACAGACACAGCCATGGAGAACCTCAGCACGGAGAGAGACATTCTCAATGAGACTGTCTCTGCTGTAGAAGCCCCTATGTCAGTGCCCAATGCTGCACTGGATACAGTCTCAGGAGCACCAGCTCAAAAGGCCGACTTTCCTCAGGTCATAAAAAACAAAAAGAAGAGGAAAAATAAGAAGGCCGCAAAGCTAACCATGAGAAGTACACCGCAGGTCCAGGAGCCAAATGAGACCCAGACCGCCAAGGCTTCTGAGGACTTTGACCATGAAGCCGAGTTCTACAAAGCCATTAACACAGTCACAATAGGACATGATCTGGAAGAACTGGAGGTTAAACCTGCTGTGAGTGTTGTAGATGAAGAAACAACTCCTTCAGGGATACAAGCTGAGGCTGAGACTGCTGAGGACAAGAGTCTGGAGTCTGACGCTAACCTCACAGACACAGTCGTGGAGAACCTAAGCACGGAGAAAGAAATCCTGGAGTCTGACGCTAACCACACAGACTCACACGTGTGTATGTCTGTGTGGTGTGCGTGTCCTCTCAAACAGAGAGAAATCCTCAATGAGACTGTCTCTGCTGTAAAAGCCCCTCTGTCAGTGCCCAATGCTGCACTGGATTCAGTCTCAGGAGCACCAGCTCTAAAGGCCGAGTTTCCTCAGGTCATAAAAAACAAAAAGAAGAGGAAAAATAAGAAGGCCGCAAAGCTAACCATTAGGAGTAAACTGCAGGTCCAGGAGCCAACTGAGACAAGTCGAGGATACAATTGTGAAGGAAGTGTCTCCCCTGAAGATGGAAGTGTGTCCCTGCTCAGACGTGATGGACATGATGGCCGTCACCACACATGGCCTCAGTGTGAGAAAGACAAAGTTACTGAAGAAGAAGAATCTCAACCTACAATGTGCAGAATCTTCAACAAGAGAAAACAAACTGAATGCTGCAAAAAAGGCCCAACAGGCTACAGCAAAGGCCCCACAGCCCCCAGCAGAGGTCCAGCAGGCAACAGCAGAGGCCCATATGTGTGGAGGAGAACACCAGTCTCAAACAAAAAGCGCTAATGGCAAACATAATAACATTTTCTCAAAATCCACTAGAAAGGAAACAAAAAAGAAGACGAACAAAACACAGAGGGCACACAAAGGGGGTAAAAAGGGGAAGTTTTAAAGAGACAAATATTAAACCGAACCGAGAGAACAGAGAGGGCCAGTTAAGAGCTGAAGGACCTCTATAGTACCCAAGAGAAATGTAGTATCCATATAGGATTAATGCATGTACCAGAACTTGTATCACCTCATGAGATAATAGCACAGCCTCCTCACACCATATTGATCAGGCTACGGCAGCGGTGATCAACTCACTGCACACAGGCACATGTGGCCACAGGTTTTCATTTTAACCAGTCTTAATGTTCAGACTGGACTCATTTAATGAAGTGAGTGAAGTCTGATGTGGACTGCTCGTTGGAAGAAAAACCTGCATTCACACAAGCCTTATTGGAATGAGTTTGAACCCCTGGGTCGTCAGTATCTGTGGAGGAGTATAGGACTATAGGGCTGGGCGATCCGGAAACGAAACAGATCAATTTGTTTTTCTCTGTCAGTTTGGTATGCAACATGGGCTTGTATACAGAACTGTACATGTTTATTTAATTTAGGTACATTTACTGTAAATGTAACTAAATTAAATGAAATGTAACTAGTTTAATCCAATTTAACTATAGGTGCCCCTCTGCAATCGTTATAGTTAACAATTGAAGAGGAGCACTTAGTCAGTCAGATGAACAGATGTAGAGTTAATGAAGGGTTCTCCAGTTCTCTGTCCTAATGTGAGGGACTGAAGAGTGTCCGTCTTCAGGTCCTCACACTGTTACTGTCACATGTTTGGTGTCTGTCTTGTACACATTTAAACGCCTGCTGGAAAACTCTCTTCATGATCACCAACTATCACGCCAAAAGTCTGAACAAAACTTTTGCACTGGCGTCCGCAACTCAAAAGCTTCAAAGAGCCATAATTCACACAAAAAACAAAAAAACAAATCTGTCTGGAGCCTCAAGACAGACAGCCGCAAAAAGATAACAGCCTTGTGTAAGACTTATATGAAGGCAACACGAGCAGTAAGCTGTGTTAGCTACAGTACATTAGCTAACTTCTCTTTAAAAAGCAAACATGAAGCAGTCCTTCCTAATTGGCTGAGGGCAAATGTTTCAGTTCATTCATCCTTGAATTCTTGCACATTATCCTACAGAAACCACATTCAAACTTGAAATAAAATATACCTCTCCCCACTATTTTCATTTGAAGAGGTTACAGGAGCCACTCAAGGAGCCCTGCAGAGCCGTGGGTTGCCAACCCCCGAGCTAGACAATCGAGATGTCCAATAAAAGTACTATTAATTGCACATGTTCTCTACTCTGTTTGAATATCGATGTAAGTATCATCCTTCACATTGACTCAATCCATTCTGTATTCAATGGTTTGAGTAATTTTTATTCTTTATTTCTTAACTTAATTAACTTAATCTTCGTTTCATTTTTGTGATACAGTAATGATACAACTGTGTAATGCAGACAGAGTCAAACTAAATATCTCTGCAACCTTACACAACATCATGCTTTTCATGTTCATTGGTTCTATGGTAAAAAATGTGTACGAACTAGAAACATGGGTAATACTTGAGATTAGCCATCCATCCATCCATTGCCGGGTCACACCTCCCTCAGCTCATCTGGGGAATCCTGAGGTGATCCTAGGCCAGCTGTGAGACTCCCTCCAGCGGGTTCTGGGTCTTCCTCAGGGTGTCCACCCCGTGAGACATACGGGGAACACCTCGGGGAGGCGTCTGTGAGGCATCCCGGACAGATGCCATTGTGGCCATACTTGCATGTGAAAGCCAGATTTTGTCAGAAGCTAAGCAGGGCAGGGCCTGGTTGGTACCATAAATGGGAGACCTTTGGAAACACCAGCTAGAAGGAGTCTGGTGTGTGTGTTAGTGTGTGAACAGATGTATGACTTGGTCTGTATTTTTTAGGCATACGTTTTGAACACTAGAAGACCCATGGAGTTGTGATCTTTTTTTGTCTGATTTTTTTACGTAAAGCCCTCTGCAAATAAAGATCAATTAATATTAATGTATGTGTCTGAACACAAAGAGTCTTATAAAACATGAAAAATACAATGTGAACAAAATAAACCACAACAATATCTGTCTTTGTTTTACATCTTGCCATAACTAAACGCCAAGATTAAGGTTAATCGCTGACTTGAAAAACGTGCTGTGCCATCACGGTCAAAGATCTTATTAATTAACAACATCACAGTCATTAATTCAATGTAAATGTGTGTTATGGAAATATCTTGGAAGAGATTAAGAAATACGTATATATATAACAAGGCGGAGATTGGGTGTGCGTTTATATTATTCATCATATTTTCAATGTATATTCTGTATTTAATTAAACTGAGAAGAAAAACAGAATTCTTTGCCTTTCTTGAAATAGAATTGTGTGGTACTGCGGGAGACTAGGAGATAATTTATTTTCACTGAGGTTACAAAAAATATGAATGTTATAAATCCTGATGTGTTTCATTAGCACTTCTTGAAACAAGGGCAGAGTTGCTGCACTATACTGAAAGCAACCACGGAAAAACTTATTTTTAATTGCCTGAAAAAAAAGTTACAAAGACATGTCTTGGGAGTTTGATTCATATGGAAGTGAGAAACTTTCTTGACACTTAGGTGGAATAATTAAAACTCTAGATACGTTTTAATATTAAAATTCTCCTTCAAGTGATATCTACATGTATTTGCGTTCAATGAAAAGTAATACAAATCATTGCTCATTTTAGATTAACATTAAAAACAGATTTAGTTTTGACCCTCATTTTTCACTATAGGCTGTTACTATGGAGATCTATTTTAAACTGTTATATTTCATGCATATGTAGCAGGACGAGGGTCGTGGGCTCACATTCGGTGCACCAACAAAATAAACCAGCAACGCCAGGGATATTACACCCAAAATAAAACTAGAAACGCCCTAAGGCACATAGGTAAGTTCAAATAAGAAGAGGCATGTTTCATGAGTGTGCAGATTTATTAAATCCATTTTCTTTCTCTCTCATTAGGTTATAGTGTCACAATGAAAATGATCAGTTTATGAGTCATACTGTACAACAACCTCCAATTTGTCTATGTGTCGTAGTCGTAGTAAAGAGAAAAGTAAGGCCCATAAGAGACCCATAAGAGCACAAAAATACAGTAGGCTACAGAAAGACAATGCAATTAATACAAAGACATGAGATTCTTAGAAAGTCTGAAGGACACTACCTGTACAGTGAGGAGGGTGGACACCGGGAGGCGGAAGTTAACGTGGCATAGACAGGCGCATCGAGGCATTATATACCACCATGAGCCTCCTGCTGGTGGCCACGCAGAGCCACACCACCACACATATTTTTAGTTAGTCCCACTATAAATAATCTTTCTTAAGTGGCATTTTGTGGAAAAAAACAGACAACAACTTTCTGTCTTTTGATACAAAAACAAATGTAATGTACATACTGAGAGCTGATTGGCAGAATGAGGCCTATAGTAGTGGTAGTCTCTTTTTTACTGAAAAATATGATAAAAAAGATGTGACATGGGCCAAACACACATGCTGGATAAATTGCACATGTTTTAGTGAAGGACCACTTACCCAAGGACAAGCAATCAGGGAAGGGGATCGTGGAAAAAAAACAATTATATACTCTTATTTTAGTTATTGTTTTCCACTGTCCTTTGGTTTTAATGTATTTTTGGTGCGCTTTTGACCAGTTTTGATTATTTTTGTAGTCAAAATTGCTGAAATCCTGGTATTCCCATTCAAAGAGACGAGGGCTAACGCTAATGCTAACATGAGCTTTTAGCCATGCTGCTGTGTATAGCTCCTGCTTCTTTGATCACTGTAGGTTTAAGCTCCCACAGACGTTATTCCTCCATGTGTCTCTTCTCTTCACACCGCGTTTGTAAAACTATATATTATAGTAGATCCATGGTAACACTCAGTAAAGCCTCTGTGCAGCGGGAGCTGGGTCTGAACGTGGTCTTGTTTACATGTCGGCTCCACGCGTCTGTCAAGTGCCCGAAACATTTGGAGAGATCCGGTCATTTATCAAACTAAAGTATTCTTTCCTTGGCAGTCTGGTGAATTACTGAGAGTCAACTCAAAGGCCACCGTACTTTAGTAGACTGCAATATAAGGTCTCAACGCTAGATGGCACTAAATATTACAGTGTCCCTTTAAAAAACACTAATTCGAACACAGCTCATGAGTTCTGCAACTTGTTCATGTTCCATCAGTGGCATGTACACAACAAAAAAAACGGCATGTGGACAACAAGTGGCGTTTAAAACGGCCTGTGGGGAATAAATGGCGTTTAAAACGGCATGTGGACAACAAGTGGCGTTTAACGCCATTTGTTGTCCACATGCCACTGATCAGCTGTGGCAGGTGCCGGTGCCACAAAAGGAGCCTGCCCTTACTGCCTCTCAGGTCTCTCCCTCCTCAGGTCTCTCCCTCCTCAGGTCACTAACACCTGTGCTTCTCAAAAATGTTGTGTAATACAGAGCAGAGAGTCGGCAGCTGGATTTGTTGTCGGATGATTAAAAGATGCTGTTTGTGGACGTTATTGCATTGGCGAATTAATGCTATTTTATCAGAATAGCAATTGTACATTTCACTTTTAAAGTTAGTGCCTCACTAATCACAAACCTCAACACACGTCACTGCTTTTTTGTGGTTTCAAAGTTAGGTACCCCAGCTATAAATAGTCTTGTTTATGTATTTGGAGTATTTGGTAAAAGGGGAAACTACATCTACATTAATTATCTTGATCAAATCACTCCATAAACAGTCTCCCCTTGCCTTCTCCATGCGTTGTAATCATCCCATTAATTATATCCATCTACTCATTCAAGCAGCTTTTAGCAAAGATAGTCAAATTCAAGTAATTTGCATGAACTCATTACATTTGTGGATAATATCATTCAATCAGTAAATAAAGATTGGTGTGTAGG